CCTTGTTCAAGAGTGTGACAGCTACTATTTGATTTTTAGAGTAGACTTGTTAGGATAAAATATATACATATACACTCATAGTTGCGTAAATCTATGCTTGCTGTTTTGTTTCCTTTTGCTACATTATTCAAATATAATAGTTACTATAAGATTTATAAAAGAATTAATGATAAGGTATTAGCTTAATAAGATATAGCATAGTATTAAAGTCCAATCATTAGATTATATAAAAATTAAAGTTTAGACATATGAAACTCATATGAATTATAGTAAAGTTTGGTAGTTTAAGGATAAGTTTTAACCGAGTATAAGGCATTACGTTAAATCATAATAGGATAATAGTATAACTAACAGCTAAGTCATTTAAGTAAACTTATAGATTATAGTATAGTGTTAAGTTGATAATATTAATCGTTAAAAATATTAGGAGTCAGTGAACTTGGATTGAACCTAGAGTTAACTTAGAAAAGTTTTTTGTATTAATCAGGGTTTAGAACAATGAGTATAATATGAATGATTCATTGAACATTATGGAAAGCACTTTGAATGATTTGTATTGAAATTGTGCACCTGTGACCTTAATGTAAGCACGACAGACATCATGGAGTTCGAATTGTTTGCTTGGAAATTGCAGATCTCGTGGTGGTCTTGTGATGCATAGTTTGTAAAGCACGGAGCTTGTACGCCCCCAGTGAGTGATTATCACACAGCTGGAGGGTATAGAAAATGGTATATAAGTTGGAAGGAGTCCGAATAAAATTTGGCGTCAGTCCTGATCAGACTGTTCCCAGAAGAACTGCCTCCAAGTGGTCTCTTCTCGCCATCCAGATTCTCTGGTGCGGGTCCTAACCCACCCTTGGTCAGTGCTGGTCACCGACAAATAACAATCTGATTTTCTTTCCTCATAGTTGACTTGTTCATTGCTTTCATAAGAATATGCTTAACTTGTCTGTTCTGAGTCTATTTTTTCTACTTTTGCAGCACAATCTTTTAATGTGTATTTTCTAGCAATTTTTAATGTTTTTCTTGAATTATACTTTTGAATGTGTTCTTTTCTATTGCTTTGATTTCTTTTCTTTAGTACTTCTTATTATACAAAAATTTTTATCTACTTTCCATGCAATTTTTTTTTTTTTTTTGAGTTACAGGCTGAGGGAAAAATTTGGTTTTATTAGGGAAGGAAGTGGAAAAAGTTATCAGTAAAGAAGATAGCTGATATTAATGAAAGACTGAAATGTAACAAAGGTCTAAAGGCTAGATATAACATTCTTGAAGTAAGAAATATTTTATTTAAAAATATATATATGAGGTGGGAACCAAAAAAACCAGAATTTATTTATAAAAAATTATGTATTTGTTCCTACACGTTTAAACTTCAGTCACCTTCAAAGTACTATCATTTTGATGTAATACACCTATAGTTCGATAAGTGTATTGCATCAAATGAATATATATATATCACTATATCAAATGTGTGTGTGTGTGTGTGTGTGTGTGTGTGTGTGTGTGTGTGTGCGCATGTATACTATTAGTAGCTATGAGAATGTTCAAATTTTATTTTGAGTAGCTAAGTGGTCAGAAGAAAGCTATTAGCATAAGGATGATCCTGGCTGTACTGCATATATGGTTCAAAATAAAGTAAAAAACCCAGCTGAAAGAGCATTATGATGCAATAATAGGAAATGGCTAAACAAGTGATGATGGGTTTATATGGTGAAATGACATAAAGCCTATGAAAATTTCAACCACAAATAGTTCAAGAATCATGCTAAACACTTTAAAATAACAATATATATAACATTAGTTATTAAATAGGATTGCAAAGTATTAGAAAACATGCATACATACAAACAAGATTTAAATAGATATAGAAAAAAGAGTATAAGATTTTTAGGAGCCGGGCTCAGTGGCTCAGCCTGTAATCCCGCGCCTTTGGGAGGTTGAGGTGAGTGGATTGCCTGAGCCTGTGGGTTCGAGACCTGCCTGGGCAACGAGACCTCATCCCTACAATAAATCAAAAAATCAGCTGGACGTGGTAGCGCATGTCTGTAATTCCGGCTACTTGGAAGGCTGAGGCGGAAGGATTGCTGGAGCCCAGCAGGCGAGGCTGCGGTGGCTGGGAGCGGCCACTGCACTCCAGTTTGGGTGACCGAGTGAGACTCCAAATGAAAAAAAAAAAAAAAAGATTTTTAGGATATTAGGATGATAGAGTTGTTTTCATTTATAAATTATCTGTTACTATTACTATAGTTTAGTCAAAAATGTGTATGTATATATAACATTTCCAAAAGAAGAGACTGTAAGATAGATATGTACCTCATTTAACCTTGAAAATGAAAATAATTCATTAACAGTGCTTCCTCAGAGTTTTATTATATATGTTTTGGTGCCATTTCTTTGTTGAAGGAATGTTTATAAGTTTAAAGAAAACAATTAGATATGAAGACAGTAAAAAGATTCGATTTTTAGGATAGTGAAGATATTCTGTATGATACCATAATGGTGGATATATGTCATTACACATTTGTCCAAACCCATACCCACTAAGGGTAAACCCCAATGAAAACTATGAACTTTGAGTGATAATGATGTGTCAGTGTAGGGTCATCACTTGCAACAAATGTACCACTGTGGTACAGAATGCTGACAGTGCGGGAGGTGGTGGGTGGTAGGTGCAGGAGATATACAAGGAACCCTCTGTACTTTCTGCTCTGTTTTGCTGTGAACCTAAAATTGCTCTTTAAAAAGTATATTAAAATAATATTTTCAAAAAGACAACTAAAGGCTAAGTTATAAAATTTTACATTCTATCTTATCAAGGAAGTGTAACCTGAAGACTAAAGTGCCAATTTGGAGCTAAAGCAGAGGAACGTGCCAAATGATAAGTTGGATTCTATTGGGGTAGTTTCCCTGGAATTTTTCAGTGATAAATAACTCTTTGTTCTTATTAGTGATTCAGTTTTACCACTTGTACAATGAAGAATATAGTCAGGTGTTGCCTATGTCCTTCATAGGTGTACCCTGATGAATCTCTATACAAAAATTGTTCCTATCTCTGATAAAAAGATTCCTATATTTTCTATCTTATTTTTTATCACAGATACACAGAATAAATGGGGACCCAACCATACAATAGAAATAGAGGTAAATCAGACTCTGGAAATACCATGCTTTCAAAATATCTCCTTGGAAATTGCATCTGAGTTCACCTTTGCATGGTTGGTGGTAAGTGTTGCCCTTTTCAGTGAATAACTGCAGTGATCTTTAAATATGAATGAAGTAAAATGAATAACAAATAATAATAGGGAAGGAAGCATACTAGATGAGAGACAGCCATTATGACATTGGTTAGGGAGGGTTAGAGAAGGAAGAGGAGGATACTCAGATTTCTTCTAAATGGGCAAGCCTCCGGGTCTGTGAATGTAGTGGACTAACTTTGAAAGTAGCTCTTAAAGGTTAATTTCTATTTCTATCTATACACCAAGCTGTGATTACAGAGAGAATGAAATGTGATAGTGTCCTGGAAAAGAGACACATCCAGCAGAAGCCCAACCCAAATATCTGTTTTACAAACAACATATGCAGAGATATAGACTCCCTTTCCCCTGATTCCTTATTACTGCATCCTGGCAAATGTACAACATTGCTTTAGGCAGGGAAACACAAACTCTAATGCTGATACAAGATAGCATATAAAAATATAAGCAGGCTGATAATTGCCTGGCCTTTAGAAAAAGACAAAAATCTGGATTTTGTTGAGAAATTCTTCAATTTTAAAAAGGATGTGTAGAGCAAAAATAAATACTGATCTATTATTTTAATGACATAAATTATTAGAACATCCTAAAATATAACACTAATAGTTTTTAAATTATCCATTTACAAATTTCCACTGAGTATTCACTTTGATAGTTACAATTAGCTAACTATTAAGTTGCTTACCACATTCTGTGTGATAACAAAATTTTCCCAATATTTTTCTTTACTTGAAATACTGCAAACTTTATCTGTACAGATCTTCATCTATTCAGAGATCCAAGTTAATTTGACCTGTCCCTTAATGTGAATGTCCTTACATTTTCTGCCTTTGTTGTTTTATCATAGTCTGCAACATTATTCTATCACAATGTCTCATTTCATTTTAAAAATATAAATGTAACATTAAAAACTAAAATTCTATTGATTTAATCTATCTTTCAAATGGAAATTATCAGTTTTTTCTCATAACAGTAAACAAAATCAACATAAGCATAATAACAAATACAAGCCGGGCTCGGTGGCTCAACCTGTAATCCCGCGCCTTTGGGAGGCTGAGGTGAGTGGATTGCCTGAGCCCGCGGGTTCGAGACTCGCCTGGGCAGTGAGACCTCATCTCTACAATAAATCAAAAAATCAGCCGGGCGTGGTAGCGCATGCCTGTAATTCCAGCTACTCGGAAGGCTGAGGCGGAAGGATCGCCGGAGCCCAGCAGGTCGAGGCTGCGGTGGCCGGGAGCGGCCACTGCACTCCAGTCTGGGCGACAGAGTGAGACTCCAACTCAAAAAAAAAAATAAATAAAGACAAATACAAAAGAGTTGAGTCATTTTAGCTTTGAGAGGTAACCAACCAGCTAGCCATTAACCTACATAAATAGTAAACGTCTAAAACTGTTAAATTATAACAAAGAGACTAACACAATTATAAAGATAACCATAAACACGATTTTAAGAATCACGTAACAGCGTACTTATTTAGGTAATCCAGAATATGATTGCTATATATTAATTTTTCAGGTTATTAAAATGAAAACAGAAGATTTAAAAATTCTTACAAAACTCACAGATCTTCACAAATGTAACAGCTGACACAATTTGAAAAATACTGTGATTCACGTGATTGATTACTCACATTACAAGTTACCTAGCTTTTTTGTGGATTGTCTTGGAAACCAGACCCTACGTATAAAAATATTTCTCTGGGGGCATGCCAAACCCAAAATAGCTGACTTGCATGAAGACCTTAAAATACAACCTACTGATAATTTTTTACTATCTAAATATTTTTTGGAATGGCAGTAATACGAAAAGAAAGATATATTCTAAAATAACTTTTCAAAACCGCCTTAAAATCTACAATGTCTCTTTATCCTCTATCACAAAACACACTTTCCCCTTTTTAGGATTTTGTTTCCAAAATATAAGTCTTCCTGGACATTATACCCATTATTAGTACAGGTCAATTGTTCTTAGCAAACATGATATAATGTAGTTATATATATTTTTTCTGGCCTCCTGAGATAATCTTCACTTTTTAACTTTTTTCTAAGAACTACATTATATCATGTTTGCTAAGAAAAATTGACTTGTACTAATAATGGGTATGATGCCCAGGAAGACTTATATTTTAGAAACAAAATCCTAAAAAGGGGAAAATGTGTTTTGTGATAGAGAATAACGAGACATTGTAGATTTTAAGACGGTTTTGGAAAGTTATTTTAGAATATATATAAATGCATTGTCTATACCTTGCTTGCATTATTAATATTTTCCACCAATAAAGCAAAAAGTTTCTATCCTAATTAACACAAACTCACTATCAATAGAAATTTGCTGAATAAATCTATACTGTAGTGATTTTTGCTGGCCAGTAAGTTGATCTGTAGTGTTCTTATCTCACGTGTGATCTGTTCAAGCAAATGCACTGCCTTTACTAAGTCTCTGTTTTCTCTGAGCTTCTCTAGGACAAAAGCTGTTTCACTCCATATCTAATATAGAGCTTAGGACATAGGCCCTCATATATATACTTAATAAAGCACTTAATGAATGTATTTTTATCTGCCACTTCTCCAATGAATCATATTCATTGTCCTCATATTAAATTGATGACTCATGGGTTTAATTATTTAATGAGTTGGCAGCTTGTTAAGTATCAAAGACAAGATAACCAATAGATAAGGCATCCTTTATCAAGTAGCTTCCTTCACAGTAACTAAGAAGGCTGTATAGACATTATCTTTGAATCCTGCTGGGACACTCAGGATAAATGAGAATCAGAGAGAGTGCACAGTAAGGTCACACCGTTGATGGTGAGCCCTAAACATCTACTAGAACATCAAACCATGCTTCTGCTTTAAAGAATACATCATGATCCAGACAAGTTGAGGACTCTTTTTAAAAGAAACTGCTCATCAAAGGGAACATGGGATTGGCAAATGCGCTGATTAAAGTCCTGCTATGCATTCCCTTTTTAAATGTTATAATCTATTTGCTCCTCTGATTTAATTCTGTGCCCCACACTGTTGACAGCTGTGAGATTCAGCAAGTTTGATTTGAACCAATCTAATGTCCTTATATTGGGGAATAAGCTGCAGCTCTCCATGTCATAATTATTCTATGTCTGCAGAGGAAATAAATATTCCCTACAATCCATACATTAGTTCTTTCATCTCTTGTTAAACTAATCATCATCACCATAATGATCAGTCAATTGTTCTTCCAAACACTACATAATGTGACTTTAAGAGGAGATTAAAAAGTAGAGATGATAAAGATGAACCTGCTATACTGAACTTGGTAACTTCCGGAAGCTAAACAGGCCTTCTGTCCCAAGTGATTCGTGAAATCCTGGAAATGATTTTACAAACTAAAATTATCTAGGTCACAGGAAAACAAAAATTGCGTCTTCCTGTGTGTGGAATCTAACAAAATCTAATTAATTCAGTTGTGACACTCATGGGAAACATTATTATTAGGATTCTGAATCTTGTGAAATAAACTCATTTGCTATGTGTACCTGATCCCATGGCTGTTAAATGTGCATTTTGCGTTTTGGGAAGATCATTTGCATTTTAGGGAGTTAAATTTCAGAATTTTGACTACACTGAAATAGGCATCAGGTACAATAGACAAGCCTATCTAACATTCATCCAGCATGAGAGGTAATGAAGTTAGACACTTCGTTTTAATAAAACTAAGGAATTATGTGAATGTAAAGTAGTATATAAAAAATCATAGAATATGTATGTTTAGATGGAATGCAGTTGGTAGATAAAGAATAAGTAATACTTTTCCCATTTTTATGTACTGGAACACAAGCATACAGTCATCAAGAAAATTCTGCAGGCTTATTTTGGAAGCTTCTACATATACTCTAATAATCTGTTTTTATACCAAACTATCATCCTGATTTCCCACAGTATAAATTTCAATTCCATCCAATAAACATACATGACTCTGTTTTGCATGCTAAGTCCTACAGGGATACATATTTCCTGCCATGACATAAACCTTTAATAAAAATGTAAAATGGCAGCATTGGGGGAAAGTAGTGTGATTCTGACTAGAGGGACCTGAGAAAGCCTCTTATAAAAAAATCACATTTGAGTTGGATAATTGAGGATAATTGAGCTACCAGCCCAATCTTCATCTGCATGCAGCCAACTTATATAGTAAATCCCCACTTGTACCTCACAACTCTAAAATGAAAAAACATTAAAAACAATAAAACTAAATTAAATTAATATTATGCTAGAAAGGTTAAAGACAACATGGCCTTAATGCTTATAATTTTATAAATAGTAAAATTCATTTGGTAAGTATGATAAAAAGTCTTCAAATGACAGCAGTCACTTGCCTATGCTTTCTATGTATCGCTGTTTAGTATTATGGCTTAATTACTGTGAAGTTTTCTCTTCCGCCTCCTCAAAAAAGAAAAAAAGTTATATTATTTTCTTTTTTTGTAGGTGAGGAAAACAAGGCTTAGAAAAGTTTAGTCATTTGCTGAGGTCATTAAACTAGTAATTGATGGACAGAACTTTAACCCAAACTGTCCGACTTTGAGAACTATGTTTTTAATCACTAAGCTATACTAATCTTTAGATATTGTACCTCTATGCCATTCGTTATTCATAAACAAAAGCTTTCTGCACAGAAAAGTATGAGGAAAGCTTATCAGTAAAGTTGACTATTGACAAAACAGTTAAAATACACACACACACACACACACACACACACACACACACACATGCCAACCCTCCTGTCCACCCCATTCAGTGGTAACCCCTGCCTTGACAGCTAGTATCCAGGCTAGTCCCACTTGTTTTTAGACAAACGGAACTGGGCAATATATTAAAAAAAAGAAAAGTTGACTGACAAAAGACAGACATATACTACACCGAGGCTCTGGGACCTATAAATACAGGTTGGTGGTTCAGATGGAGAAAGGTGTTGAGGGAATATTTGCTCCCAAAGTCTGTGGAAACAAATAAATACATCATTTTTCTTTTTAAAATTATGACAAGAAAAACAAGAATATTTCAAACAGTTTTCTTAGTGACAAAGGCACATAACTAAATTGTAGATTCTATATGTTGTAAAATTTTTATCTACAAGAGTATCTTCAGTATGCTGTTTTTAAATATTTGTATTTTCTTATAAAAAGATGAAATGGAACAATAAACAATGTTGGTTTCCCATGTTATGGGAGGTTTCTAAATTCAGAAAACAAACTGTTTCTTCTTACCTGGTGGCAGCTGATCCTGACATAATCAATAATAAATTTCTGGCCAAACTACAAAGTGTTGGCAACGAATAGCAATGACTTGAAAAGTATTGCTCTAGAAAATGGACGTGGGGAGTTTCATAAGCAGCCCGCTTTGATGGCACTGACGAGATGGAGAGTAAGTGGAGGAAATGCAAAGATAGGAAACAGTTTTGAGATAAAGAAGTAGTAATCAAGCAGGGCTCGGTGGCTCAGCCTGTAATCCCGCGCCTTTGGGAGGCTGAGGTGAGTGGATTGCCTGAGCCCGCGGGTTCGAGACCCGCCTGGGCAACTTGGCAAGACCTCATCTCTACAATAAATCAAATGAGCCGGGCGTGGTAGCGTGCACCTGTAGTTCCAGCTACTTGGAAGGCTGAGGTGGAAGGATCACCGGAGCCCAGCGGGTCGAGGCTACGGTGGCCGGGAGCGGCCACTGCACTCCAGTCTGGACAAGGGAGTGAGACTCCAACTCAAAAAAAAAAAAAAAAAAAAAGAAGTAGTAATCAATACAGTTAACAGCAGTTATTGAATTGGCTCCCATACACTCAGCACCAACCACATGCTGTGGTCATCACAGCCAACTTTGACATGAAGCCAGTTCCAAAAAGTTCAGGCCAGCCTGAGGATGAGATTCACTAAATCAAGTAGATTGAGCATTCCAAATTCAAAACTCTGACATTCAAAATGCCTCAAAATCCAAAACATTTTGTACACGAATATGATGCTCAAAGGAAATGTTCATTGGAGCATTTCAGATTTTCAGACTTAGAATGTTCAATCGGTGTAATGCAAATATTCCAAAACCCAAAACAATCTGAAACACATATGATCTCAACCCTTCAGATAAGGAATACTCAACCTGTAGAGCAAACGTTATTTTTTGGATTGAAAATTTTGAGTCTAGTACAAAAACAAAAATGCCTCAGTGAATTACTTTCAGATATGTTAAGGGGAATATAACAGCAGTTTTTGTAATTCAATATGACCCAGTCCAACCTTTGTCATGCCAATTATTTTATCAAATTCCTGAATATAATTTAAACATGCATTTGTTTCTCTTCTTTGGGTGATAAATTTTTGTATTTGTTTTTTGTGAATTTCTTTTCCTTAGTAGGCTATAAGTAGAAAAGGCAAGGATTGCTCCTTCTACTTTTGTGAGGCTGTATATAGCAAAGTCATGAACAGTATGACTTTGAAGAGAAATTGCTGTTTTCAAGTTCTGGTTCTACCATTAACTAGCTGTGTGACCTAAGAATTGGAAGTAGGATGAGGTGAGTAAGGCCCTTAATTGTGGGGACAAAATTTTAGGGAGTATTAAAAAAATCAATGATCAAGATAAATATTTTAGTATAATATGTTTTAAAATCAAAAGTTAGGAAAAATTTATGATAAAATATCAAAATTTTAAATAAAGGCAAGGTACTGTTTGTGTGTTTTCAGACCTTGGCATATTTATATTATTCAAGGGACAATATTTTTCAATCAGCCTGTGGTTCTTGAGTTTCGTGACCCTAGTGTCCCCCAAGGACAGTTGTGGAAAGGTTGACAATGGCAGGAGAATAGATTGCGCAATTCATGGCTTTGTCTCAGTCCATTTCATACTGTTATGTATAACAGAACATCTGAGACTGGGTAATTTGTAAAAAAAAAAACCAGACATTTATTTTCTCATAGTTCAGGAGGATGCAAAGTCTAAAATGAAAGCGCTAGCAGGTTAGGGCCTGGTCTCTCTGCTTCCAAGATGGAGCCTTAAATGTTTCATCCTCCAGAGGGGGGGAGAAACATTGGCTCTTCACCCAACAAGAGCAGAAGAGAGAACCCACTCCCACAAGCCCTTTTAATAGCAGCATTAATCCATTTACAATGGTAGAGCCCTCTTGACCTCCCATCATGCTGCACCTCCCAACACTGTGGCACTGGGAATTAAGTTTCAAAATGAGGTTTGGGAGGGACAAAAACAAAACCATAGCAATGACTCTCCATAATGATTCCATTTATCCAGGTAACTAGTGAATACTCATAAAATGGCTGGTTGATCATAGGTAGGACTGGAAGATAGGGATGTTGTATTATTGGACGTCTATTAAGCATCAAGACTAGAGTGGGTGTTTCAAATACATTCGTTAGTTAAACCTATATTTTTTATCAAAATGTAATAATCTACCATGGTGTGATTTCCTAACATTTTAGATTTAAAAACATTTAAACATTAAAAAGCATTTTAATATTTTTAAAGTGAGCACTTTTTAAAGAACAAGAGAAAAAAACAGGTAGAAATAAAGGTTCTGCACAAGAACTTTTGCCAGTCTGTTTCCTGCAGACCAGGTTAATTAAGAGCATTATCATCAGGTAAGAGTTGAGGTATGCTCTATGACACTTATCACCAAAGGTAGGTCAATATATTATACAGGTCCCTTTCAATCAACAAATTGTCCACACCCCTGTAGTCTACAGCATATACGTAGGTTTCTGGCTTTCTGAATTTTTTTTAAATTTATCATTCCAAATACTTCAGAAAGTTTATTTTTTATTTATTTTATTTTTTCAGTTTTGTAGTCTGGTTTTAGTACATGTTGTCTCTGATCCTTATTTGTCACTGGTTCTAAGCATTCTTGCTTTTTGATGCTATGACCTAAATACCTCTTACTTTGTGTCACCTTTGAGCAAGTTACTTATGTCAATTTATTCCAGATTGTTGTAAAGAGTAAATAAGACTTTAAATAACTTTACACAGTGCCTAGAATATAGTAGGTGCTAAACAAATTTAAGCCGTGACTAATAAGAATATAAAACTTTAATAGTGTTCATATTATAAAGTTAATATTATATCTCTGTCTCCCAGTCCTAAGCATTTTATTGTTTGCTGGTGCTAGTTTTTTTCACCTCTCCTCCCATTTGCTTTCTAAAGGCAGCTACTTATGTATAGGTTCTTGCTATGGTCTTCTTTATAACTGGGGACACTAGCATCTCCTAAGATCTTATCTTATAGGTTACAGGGCAACTGAATCCCATCTTTCCCAATGAAAGAACAAACCACTCTTTCTGCAGAAGTCAGCTGTCCAGAAAAACAAGACAAAACAAGCTTTGGATAAGTTGGGGGGAGGAATAGGGTTATATTTTTTCTCTATCAATTAAACCACCCTGGTCAATCACACCCCACTACGGAAAAAACAGTTTTCTCACCATTCTACAACCTCAGCATGTGACTGCCCTTTTTCCCACAACAAAGTGACAGGTGGAAATTTTCCAAATGGCAGTCATATACTAAATGACCAAGAAGCATTTTAAATTCCAAAATCCGCAAAAAACCAGTCCCCATGCGTAAAGCAAGAGGCTGTCAAGCATGGATTATGCTAAAGGACCTGCAGGGGACGCCCGCTTCCTTAATTATTGACCTCCCGACCAACCATTGGCTGAGTGCCATAACTTCCACTTCTGCTGTCACCATCCAATACTTAGGCCTCCTTTGGGGGCCCCTGTCTCCGGATGACAATTTTTCGGTGCTCTTCTTTATTAGGAACACAGAAGCACAGACTCTTGGGTCCTTCTTTATGAGGCTATAAATAGATGTAGATTTTTTTCAGGTGTAAGACTTTAGCAGGGTGTGAATCTTTGCAGATAACTCTACAATACTGTATATAAGGTTGATACAAATCCTATCTGGATTCAGCTAAAGAATTGCATCTTATGTAAGAGTGTCTACTAAGTATTTTCTGGAATTATCTATATAATTAATCTATTTAAGAAGTCTGCTTTTGGTGTTTCCACTCTTTCTGCCTGAGTGAATTTGTTCACTCAGCTGGCTTCTATTTCTGCTACTCAGAATCTCTCATTTTTAAAACTAGATATTCCACAGGTCTTTGCTTTCATTATTTTGTGTCTTCTTCCCCCCATTGAATGCATTCCTGTTTATCCATCTCCACTTTGGTTTCCTCCATTTCCCCTGATGCCCCTGCACAATGATTCATCTGTTGTTTGGAGTTAGGCCATTGGTTTTCAGCCCTGGTTTCCTGAGGATTTAAAACATTGCCCCAGCCTGGGAATTACCCCCAGACAGACTTAATAAGATGCTTTGGAGGAGGAAGGAACCTGTGCACCAGGGTGTTTTCAAAGCAGCTTAATTCTTAATTCTCAATATTGGATTATACTAACAAAGTATGAAGACTTAACCTTTCCTCTATCCTTGTCCCTCAAGGGTCTCCTCCTCACTGGGCCCCAGGTGAGCACATTTACTAGCTTTGACCCACACTAAGACATCCCTAGGAAGTTTGTCCAAGGAAATACTGGGTAGAGAAAGAATAATGGGGGCTTTTCTTTACAGACCCAAGAAAGGATAAGAGATAGAGGAGCCAAGCGCTACTTCAGATAAACGCTTATCTCCAAAATTCAGATGAACATTTATAGCTTACTCTTCATGCATCCTCTTTGAAGCTAGCACAAACACTCAAGTAAGGGTTTAGGGTTAGGACCAGGACTAGGCTGAGAAACGGAAGCTGGGAGGAGCCCAGGGTACAATATTTAAAGAAGTTACACTCAGATGCTGACCCTTTATTTACAAGACCCTGTGAGGAAGTACCTCCTTAAATTTTGTGTCCTGTGTGGTTCTTTGTCTGATCCTAGTCCAGACTCTGAGAGGAGCTGAAATGAGATCTTTTCTAAAGGAATCCTGGGATGGTTGTAATCATCCAGTTCAGGTGAAAGCTTTATGAAATCTTCACGTTGCTATAGTCTCCTCCGCACATCTTAGCAGTAAGATGTCAGAACTTCCTAAATGAGAATTAGGATCTGCCATTAGTCCTCCTATTCCATTCCCCATATCCCACCCCAGGTATGCAGTATATGGAAGAATATGAAGAGAAGGTCTAGTCAGAAGGGCAGCAAGTTTCCTTTTGTGTTAGGAAAAGGGGCCAATAGTTTTCATTGAAAGTCAAGTGTAATGATGAAAGTGATGGTACAATTCAATGACTTTTCACAAAAGACATATAGAAGTAACCTGCATGCATTAAAAGTGAGAATAAGAATACTAGCAGCATCTCAGAAAGCTCCTCTGCATTCCCTGTCACTGGCACTCAAGGGTAATCAGTCGCCTGATTTATTTTTGATTTTTTATTTTGAAGATGTGGGGTACAATTCAGGACAGTCTCCTGATTTCTAACACAACAGATTCATTTTGGCTGTTTCATCATAACATTATATGAATAGAATCATCCAATATGTGCTGTTTGTACTTAGTTTCTTGTACTTAGTTTCTTTGTGGTTTATTCATGTTGCTGTGTTTAGCTGTAATCTGTTAGTTTTCACTGCCAAATTATATTCTACTGTATAAATAAGCAAAATTTATCCAATCAAATTAAGTAAATACATAAATATAATGATAGTTTCTCTAGTAATTAATTTCAATTTTTCATTTTTCCTATTTTTAAAAAAATGAGTGATTGCATGTGAAATACTTAGAGCTGACACAGTTGAGTGTTCAATAACTAGTAATGACTTTTCTCACCAAAGGATAATGGAACTCAGGAAACACTTTTCACCCAAGATCACTTGGTCAGCAATTCCACATTATTTAAAGACAGAGTCAAGCTAGGTACAGACTACAGACTCCATCTCTCTCCAGTCCAAATCCCTGATGACGGCCTGAAGTTCTCTTGCGAAATTGTAGTCCGGCCTGACAAAACCCTGAGGAGCATCACCAAGGTCAAGGTTTTTGGTAAGGGCTTCTGTTCTCTGACCTACCTGTCATCCTCCTGCCAATTTCTTTTGCTTTTCTCTCCTATAAAGAGGAAGCACCTGTTATGTTGGAGAGCAGCCACGCAAAGGGACCAGTGCTGGAGTTCTGTTGGCCTTGATACTTTTCATTCTTGCTGGGGTTGGGGATGACGGTGGAAAGCTAAAGAATTCAGTTGGTAAAATAAAATCATGCAGCGTTATAATTTTCTGTAGTCCATTTTCTATCGCTTAGAACAGGATACCCGAAACTGGGTAATTAACAAAGAAAAAGTATTTATTTCTTACAGTTATGGAGGCTGAGAAGCCCAAGGTCGAGGGGCTGCACCTGGTGCAAGACTTCTTGCTGGCGGAGACTCTTGAAAGACTTCAAACTTAGCTCAGGGCATCATGTGGCAAGGGGTCTGAGCATGCTAACATGTTAGCTCAGGTCTCTTCCTCTTCTTATAAAGCCACCAGTTCCCCTTTCACGATAACTCATTAATGCATTAACCTACCAATCTATGAATCAATGAATGGATTAATCTATTTATGAGAGCAGAGCCCTCATGATCCAATCACCTCTCAAAGTTTCAAATTCTCGATACTGCCACATTGGGGATAAAGTTTCAACACTGAGTTTTGGAGGAAACATTCAAACCATAGCAAATGGGTCAATTTTCTGGTGACTCCCATCTTATTAACAACTTTAATGTTTCTAAGAATACTGGAAATGTCTTTAATTATAACTGCCAAAGTCTAATTGCTCAGTTGTCTTATTGTCTTGGTTGTTTGCTAGAGCAAGGTGGAATGAGACCAGCAAGAAAAGGAAGGTGATAAACATAGCCCCTGAGAAACTACGTGTAGAGCTGAGCTGTGAAATCCACTGTGGTTTCACTCAAAATGCAGAGACTCTGCAGGGTGCCAATTTGAGGGAGAAAATGTGAAAATTCTATTTTGCCCAGTGGTGCAGTGAAATATTAATAAACAGAAGCCCCTGGCTCTGGATATTTTTTTCATTTTCATGACAAAGATCTGTGTTTTTTAGAAATTCAATTTTAAAAGAAGGCAAAGAAAAAGCAATGATGCGGATGGGCAATTAATTATTTTTGAAAATGAGGTAAACAGAGAGAAAATAACTTCACAAAACCTAAGGGCATGGGATAGTAGATTATTCCTCAGTTCTCTAAATGACAGAGCAAGCAAAAATATTTTTTGTTTCTATTTTATTTAGGATCATATTGCTTTTTATTGGAGGCCATGAAATTTAGTATTTTGAAAAAAACGCAACATTGTTTGTAAAGATGGGAGTGGCTCCAGTCAAGACTTACTTTATTTGAAGTCTCATGCTTATAGTCTTCCATGTCCCTCCCTGGCTCTTATTCAATCTCTCATCCCCCCATCTCTCTTTCCCTCCCCTTTACCTTCTTCCCTTCTTCTCTTTCTCTCCATCTGTCCTCAGGGATAGACTAATAATCACCCTTGATGAGCCAGGTGCAGTGGTTCACACCTGTAATTCCAGCACTTTGGGAGGCTGAGGTGGAAGGATTACTTAAAACCAGGAGTTTGAAACCAGCCTAAGCAAGATAGCAAGACTTCAAAATATATATATACATATATATACCTATATATTACAAAATTTAAAAAATATATATAATCATCCCTATGATCAGGTTTATTATGAAGACTAACAGTGTCCTGTGAAGAGTTGGAAACAGACTGCTCATGTCTTTTGTTGACATAACCATTTGTTTACTTACCAGGGTGTGACTATCTTAGCACAAACATGAAACTGCCTCATCTGGTCTATTGGCAAACCAATGAAAGCTGCCATCCTGGATGTGGAAAGAAATATCCATTTTGAGTTAAGCAAACCGTGTCCTCATTTGATTAAGGCCTTTTGTATCAAAACTTGATCTAATTGCCTTGTCAACATTTACTCTATGCCTTGTATCTCTTTGCTGTATTAATATACCTTGATTTTGAATGTTTTTCACTCTTTTTTTATCTCACTCTTAAGGCCCTATCTGACTCTATATCTCTGTCTCTACATTTCTCTTATTTCTCCTTTGAACAACTTCCAGTGGATACTTAAAAACACGAGATTCTGCCTGCTTGTTCAGAGAATTCTCTTTTCTGGCTTTCTTATTTAGTAAATGGGCGAAGTAGTTTGTGTTTGGATGGAGTCTCATCTAGTCTTCAACCTATTTGTGGAAGTTTACCTGAGTATATAAAGTAATGGCGCTGGCACAGATACAATACATATCCCACTTTGTATTTCTTGATGATTCTCCATATAGAATAAGCAAAACAAAACAAAACAAAAAATCATGAAAATCTTAAATACTCAAATGTATCACAGACCCATTCTAGATGCCCTAAACCCAGCTTAGTTCTTCTTTCCAAACAATGACTCATTACCTAACTTCACAACTCTTCATTCTCTAACCGACCCAGGACCAGAGGCTACCCCAGCTTCTTCACTGCTTCCTGCACCTGTTTTACTGGTCTCCTTTGGACGTTTTTTCCTTGGCAGGGAGTCCTCTGTCCCACTACTAAGTTCTAAAATGGATAGTCTTGAGCCTCAAAAAGAATCAGTCTCTCGCTATTACCCCTGCAACATTTAGTAAGTGTTCTCTCTTTCAGGACCTTCGTTTTACTGGTATTTGTCTGATAATGGGAGGACAGAAATACTTTCCGCCCCTCAGTGTTTCAGGGCCGAATCTTGGTCTGGGTTGCCCTGAAAGAAAACATTGAGTCAAAAACTTGAATTAAATTAATTTATTTCAGAGAGAATCCTGGGAAACATCAGAAGAAAAGTGAAAAAGTGAGTCAAGGAAGGGAAGAAACAATAAATCGTACATAATCAAACCAGTTACCATTGTGGGCTTAAGGCTCAGTCTCACTGGGGAAACTCCAGGGGTCAGTGTCGAGCACACATCAGAGTTACCCCAAATGCAGGACAAGGAAGCTAGAGTATTAATTCACCAGTTCTCCATCTGTTATCACCATTTACTCTTTGGAATTTCCAGATTTTCCTACCTGTTGACTGAATGTGCTCCCATAATTCCAAATAAATCCTTAGATAGAGAGTCTTAGGTATGCCCAGTAAGAAGTCCTTATATGTAGAGGTAAATGCCAAGTAGATGTAGCAGGCACTGACAGCATCTGTGACAGAAGGTCTTAATATTTTTTCCACTGGTTCATAGAAGGCTTTGTCTGCTGTGCTCAAGAACTCACTTGAAACCACTTTAGTTCAACATGATGTACTCAGTGTCTACTTTGTGCTGAGCACTGTCAAGTGCCAGATTATAGAAATGGATAAAATACTCTAGCTTTGAGGCAATTACAATCTAGCAAGACAACAAAATCACAGAAATATCCCCATATATTTTCTAGTGACAAACCACCAAACAAATGTCAAGTGTTTCTCTGCTCCCCTTCAGGGACCTGAAAATGAAACTATTTTTAGGCCTTTGGACAAGTCGAATGCTCATCTGGTCTCTCCCCCTGCCTCCCTTTTCCACCCTGCCTGCCCCTCCAGTCCTCCACATTCTAAATAGCCTTTAAATTCTACATGTCCTCCATCATTATACTTATTTCAGTATATTACAACTTCTAATTTATTTAGCTGTATTTTCTAAGAAAATGTAGATGTCTTGAAGACAATGAATATGATTTGTCCACCTTTGTTTCCTAGGCATCTAGCATACTTTTACATACATAATGAGTGCTTAATAAATATTTGAGGCTGGGTGTGGTGGCTCAAGGCTGTAATCCCCAAACTTTGGGAGGGTGAGAAGAGAGGATTGCCTGAGCTCAGGGGTTTGAGACCAACCTGGGCAACCTCATCTCTACAATAAATCAAAAAATAAACTGGGCGTGGTGTCACGCACCTACAGTTCCAGCTACTTGGAAAGTTGAGGCAGAATGATCACCTAAACCCGCAGGTTTTAGGTGCAACTCAAACAACTTGGGAGACCAAGGCAGGAAGGATTGCTTAAGGCCAGGAGTTTGAGACTAGCCTGGGAAGTATAGCAACACCTTGTCTTCATAAAAAAAATTAAAAATTAGCTGGGTGTGGTGGCACAGACCCATAGTCCCAGCTACTCTGGAGGCTGAGGAGGAAGGATCACCTGAACCCAGGAGGTCGAGGCTGCAATGGGCCGTGATTGTGCACTGTACTCCAGCCTGGGTGGCAGAGTGAGACCCTGACACACAAAAAAGCTAATAAATAAAATAAATATTTGATAAACAATGACTGTCTCATGGACACATACACACACATCAGTGGACAGGTAGGATGCCATTCAATGCCACTAACTATGTTTTATTTACCTTTAAGCTAAGCCAGAAATCTCCATGATTGTGGAAAAGAACTTCACAGATGCCTTGAAAGAGGTGAGTCACATTAAAGCATTTAAAAATTCATAGTATTACATGCCAAGGTGTGTCGGTTTGCATAGTTGCCAGGAATGTTCTCTCAAAGGACTTTACTCCTTGGCCCTTGGCCAATTAACTGCTGGTAGGGATTAAGAGAAACTGAACTGATTCTAGAAACTGAGTTTTTACTTTTAGACTCAGGGTTCTCAGAATGTAGGATCTGCATCCTCAGCCCTTAAATTAACCCAGAGAAAACAATTGCAATTGTTTAAATTTCTCTTTAATAAAAATGGAGGTTTATAGTGAGGAAACGTGGGGCATAAAGCAGTGTGTATCCTTATGCAAGAATAAATTGGTTTTTGTTTGTTTTGTTTGTTTTTCTCAGATGACATTTAATTTGTTCTAATCCATTTCCTGTATCAGCTTTCCCATTGTTTTTATTTCAAAGTGACAAGAGGAAATGTTCCCTCTGTACTCCTTCAGAAGCCTGGCTGCATCTTTGTCAGTAAGAGGATGGGCAGGAGAAAAGAGAAAGTTGAATAAGGACCTCTGATATTCAGCAGAACCAGAAATCATAAGTTACTTGATGTTCTTGGGGTGAAAAGAAATTGAAATATAACTTTCTCTGACCTCATGTGACAGAAAATGTTTGAGAATTAATGAGAATATTTTATTTTATAACTTCTTTGGAGTGGTAATTCCCAGCCTCTAGTCACTGGGATCTGATCTCACTTTCTAGCTCTTCCACCTGCTGACTGTGACCTGGGCAAATTTCTTCACATCTTTGTCGTCAGTTTCTCCATCTATATGAGGGAACAATAATAGTATCTATACATTGTTGCTGTTTTTAAGGATTAAATTAAATAACGTATAAAAGTTCTTAGAATAATGTTGTATATAGTAAGTACTTAACAAATACTCTTACTGTTTTTTGTTGTTATTACACTATCTGTTTTAGTCAACTGTCTTATTGCCTTATGACTTCGATCAATCTTTTCAAAAGTTCATGTAAAATAAAATATTCTCATTAATTCTCAAACATTTTCTGTTGCATGAGGTCAGAGAACATTATATTTCAGTTTCTTTTCACCCCAAGAACATTAAGTAACTTATGATTTCTGGCCCTGCTGATATCAGTCATTTAATTTGATAGTTGTATGCAAATCATAGTTCAGACTCATTGAAACAGTTCACATAGCTGCATACGTACATTATCCAAGTAATTGTCTTTTGCCAATTTCTTGTATTAGTTTCTTTAGATAACTGCCATTATATTCCTGAGTATATAGCAAAAGATTTAATCATTGTGTTCTGCTGCAATTTAATTTCTAAGTTTATTGTGGACTTCATTTCAATAGTTTGAATGTTTAAAAATCTAATAATATAGTTTTTGGTAGGTGTTTGTTTCTTATAAGGATATCTTGTAGATTCTTGGTGCTAATGTGTATAGATAATGTAGACTCAACCCAGATACAGAACCACAAGTTAGATCCAAGAATCCCAGTTGTTGTTTTTTTAAGAACTTTGCCTTATGTACCATAAAATTTTTTCTTTTGTACCTATGCTTACCTGAGTGCTGACTAGGAAAACCTGAGAACTTTCCTTCCTGGGGAATTAGTGAATGATCTCTCTCCAACTCCATATAACCAGCTACAGGAAATGGCTTGTCTACGGCTCTTTTAAGATCTTGCCAAGCATTAGTAATTCCTCGCTCTAATATTCTTATAATCCCTGTTGTATGTTTTAACTATTCATTAATTCTGCAAAGTCCTTCACAAACTTTTATCTTGTGGGTTCTCCCAACAAGCTTCTAAAATAGGTAAGGTATCTGTCGTCCTACAGAGGAGAAATCGAGACCTGGAAAGTCTAAACTACAGGCCAAGTCACTATTAAAGAGCAACGCTGGGGTACATGTTTAGTGTGTCTATATCCAGGCAGGATAGTATGATGAGAGAAAACAATGCTTCAGGATCAGATAGCACTAGGGTCAAATCCTAATTCAACTACTTACCAGTTCCATATCCTCATTAATGAGTGAACCTCCGTGAACCTCGCCTCACTTATGTCTAAGACTGGGATAATAATTAAAATATTTCACCAGGTTCTTAGGAGGAATAAATTTATGTATGATAATGGAGTGCATGGCATGTACTAGATGTCTCAGGAATATTTCTTCTCTACTTGCTATTTATGCATCATTCACCCACTCTCTTATATTTGTAAATATACCGTGTGACTGATTCTAGGAGACACTGTGGGATAGTTTTTTTAAAAAAACATAGATTGTGGAATTGATAGAACTAAGTTTGAATTCCTTTCCATCAGTTATTAACTCTGACTCCTAGGTGACCGGTTTCTTAGCACTCATCAATGAATGGAGGCGGTGATTTCAACCTCACAAGGGGGACATAAGGACCAAACGGGCGAATGAATGCAAACAGTGACTCCTCATTTTGATATTCTTTTAATCCCTGCTGTATTTTTAATAATTTATTAATTCTTCAAACTCCCTCCACATACATTTATCTTGTGGTCCTCCCAACAAGCCTTTGAAATAGGTAGGGCATCTGTCATTCTACAAAGGAGAAATTGGGACCTGGAAAATCTAAACTATCGGCTGAGTCACTAATAATGTTTCCTGTCACATAGGGTGAGAGAAACCATCGACCGCAAGTGCTTGACAATGGTAATATTTTACCCCCATCATTGTCTAGAGATTAATTAAGTCAACATTTAAGTATTAGATGTCTACTCTGTGCTACAGATTTATTACACTAGCAACCCTCAGTGTGTTGGAGTGTCCTGGGGACTTGGTCAGCTGTGTCTCCCAGAGTTTTAGTAGCATGAACTTTATGACTGACTTAATTTTTCTGGAAAATAGAAAAGACTCCAAATTATCCTAACAATGATGCCTCTCAGGCATGAACATGCCAGAGATACCTAAAGAGAGTATCACATTTATGGATGTCACATCCTTGTGCATTGCCAAAGGCAAGACTTCACCAAGGCTCCGATATAGCATACAGCTTCACCCTGCACGGGGAAGGGGAAGGAGTCTTTAACCTCAATCTCATGGCCTCCCCATGCGGCAGACTTTTGCATTAGAGCAAAAGATGCTGGGCCAAAAAGCCCCTCCACCCACAACTGGCGATGCAGCCTAAGAAAGCGCAAGAGGGAGGCATGAAAACCCCAGAGTGTACTCAGCAGTTCAACTCTTTCCACAAGCCTATGTCTCTCTCTTTTATACTTGTGCTTTCTGCTTTAACCCCATCAACTCCATGGGTTTTGTCCTTGTCATGCTCTACCTTTGTTATATTTGATAGAATTTTTTTTTTAATTCTAAAGAAAACTATCAATCACGAAACACAGGAAACAAAAACAATTTGTTTAGATTTGTAAAAAGGAAGAGAGGCTACCATAATCAGAGCCATGGAAAATGGACACTAAATGGAATCTAAAACCACATTGTGGTTAGCATCTGAGTTCAATAGGACAGCTCCAGTAGCTTTTTGCAGAATTCAATTATTTGTGTTTATTTGGCTTTGGTTTTGCAAAGCTTGAGCCTTTGTGGATTCCTTCCTAAGCCCCGTTCCAAATGTATATAGTTTTGTTTTTTTAAAGATCAGATGGCCAGGCATGGTGGCTCATGCCTGTAATCTCAGCACTTTGGGAAGCCAAGGAGGGCAGAATGCTTGAGCCCAGGAGTTCATGACCAGCCTGGGCAGCAGAGCGAGATTTCATCTCTACAAAAAAAAAAATCAAAAAATTAACCAGACATGGGGTGTATACCTGTAGTCCCAGCTACTTGGTATGTGCAGGTGAAAGGAGCACATGAGCTAGGAAGTCAAGCCTGCCAAGAGCCGTGATCATCGGGATCATGCCACTGCACTCTAGCCTGGGTGTCAGAGTAAGACCCAAACTCAAAAAAAAAAAAATGATTAGGTGTTATAGCCTCTTTTATTCTAGTATCTTTTGTCGTCCAAAACTCTGACCACAAATGTCCAGCTACATGTGACTCCCATCACCATTTGTGCTGGTGAGCATCTGAGCAGCACCACAGATGGAAAGAACCCTACAAAGGGCACCATACTCCAGTGGGGAAGACACACAGCAGGTGAAATCCTTAATATCAGGTGGATTTTTAGAAGAGAGAACATTTCATGACGGCAGTATACCTGCGTGTTTCAGAAGCCCAGTGTCTGGACTTCTGTTTACTTTGCATACGGCTCACAGGGACAAAAGGTCTGGCTGTTAGGGCAGCCTATCAAGTCAAAGAAGCAGTAAGAGGGAGCGGCAAAGGTAAGGACCAAGGGAGGCCCATATAATTGTCACACCAGAATCTTGTCTGCTATCAGGGAGGTCAGTGCCCACGGAGTACTTAATACATCTATGAGATAATGAGATGCTGTTTTGATCTCTTCTTGTCTTCTTCAGTTCTTTTTCTACTTCATCCCTACTCCCAACTCAGTTAAAAAAAAAAAAAAGTGAGGTGGGGTGGCTGTTAGAGGAATCTTCCAAAACAAATGCCAAATGTCAGCTCCAGTGCAAAGGCCTGCGTTGTTCCCAGTTTGATTTTATTCTAAGTTAACATTTTAGGCATATCCTCGGCGGCCCAGGAAATTTTTCTCTCTCTATGGACTTTTAGGCTCCTTGTTTTCAAAGTAGCCTTGAACATTTAAAGATGAATAGTTAAAAAAAAAAAATCAGAGAACAGTGGATTGGCATGCAGTTAGCATTTCAGAGGTGTGAGTAAAATCTAAAACCTACCTCAAATGAATGCCTGAGCTGTGGGCATAAAACAAAACCAACTTAGCTCATTAAAATTGACCTCAGGATCTAAGAAAAGATTCTCTGTCTTTCGTCATGGTCTGTTCTATTTCCATGGTGAATTTTCCCTAGAGCACTGGCTTTCTTCTTCATCTTCGTATTTCTTCTCTATCCCATTTTCTTTCTTTTTTACTATCCTTCCTCTGTTCTTTATTTTTTCTTACTTCCCCCATTTCTCTGTCTTCTTTCTGAATTTCTTTCATCTCTTCCTCACTAACTCCTTCTCCCTTGGCAGACCTTAATACTAAATTAGATATTTTTAAATATTTGTGAGTAAATTTTTAAACACTCTATTCTTAATGTTTAAATCAAGTGAGTTGAAAAGTCTTTAATTTTCTCTGTGCTAATTACACATGAATTAGTTTGTGTTAAATTGTGGAAAAGACTAACAAGACTCAGACAGGTCACACAGATGAAACAGCTTTAATATAAACTGACGTTATAGCACTGTAACAGCAGGAGAAAGAGATGCATTGGAAGGGTCTGGAGACCGCAGGCTCATGCTTCTTTGTCCTCCCACTGCTGGATCACACAGAACAAGCTTTGTATACAGTTCTCAAAGTACCCCAGCATGCTGCGAACACCTCAGTCCCAGGAAGCCTAAGCTCTATTCGTGGTGGGGTCTCTGAGAATGAGCTAGTCACTTGGACGCATCCAGTTCTCTCACCAACCTCAACCCTCAAAACCTTCAGTTCCACCTAAACCAAATGCTAGGCATAAATCCAGTTATTGTTGGTAAATAACACTGACTGAAACAACTCACAGACCCAACATGCTGGTAAAGCAGCATTTATCTTTAGTTGGTACTTTTGAAATTCTGGCCAAGGATTAGCACAGCCCTAGGAACAAGTATTTGGCCAATTCAGACCTGCTGGGATTATCTCCTACTGTGTCCTCTTTCTTATAAAAACAAAATGTCACTAAGCTACTTTGCTTCACATTTGAACTGGAACTACAATGGCTCTTTGCTAGAAGCCTAGAGTGATTTGGGAATAGCTGGCCCCAACAGATTTTCGCAATTTAAACAAAATGGAAGGGATGCACCTCTGTGGGCAGCTCTTTATCCTGCTGGCAAGCCTCCTTCGCAGCCCTTATCTTCCACTTCATCTCCAGGATGGCTCTTTCCACCTCTTCCAGGGCCCGCTCTCTCCTTTCCACAGCCCTCTCCCGCCATTCCACTGCCCTCTCCCTCTGGAGCACCTCCTTTTCCCTTTGGCTGGCCCAGAGAGCTAGGGCTCCTGCCTGCTCCAGGAGCCTGCCCCAGTCGCCCTCAACGCCTGTGGGGAGCTGGGGCCCATGGGGCCTGGGGTCTTGGCGCTGGCCTGCCTGAGCGTGGCTGCTCTTCTCCAGCTCCTCTCTGTGCATGCTCTTCAGATGCTTCCACAGGGCTGTGGTGCCCACGTTGACCCCAGGACCACGGCTCACCTGTCTGCCACACAGGCGACAGGTGGCATATTGGTTGGGGTGGTGCCCGGCACGGGCAGGGGCCAAGTGGAAGTACTCCCATGCCTCCGAAAACCGTGTCCTCTTGTTGTGGGGCGTTGGGGTGGTCATGGCACTCGCAAAAGGGCTGACCGGTTCTTCCATCTCACCGATCTCTTCCTCCTCCTTCATCTCTAAGTCCCCTTTTGCCTTCATCCTGGCTCCCTCCTCCTCTTCTTCTTCCCTCCTCATCGTGTCTCCTCTTCGACAGCTTTCTTTAGGATGTTCCTAGGCGTGAACCAAAAGTTTTAGTTGACCACAGATCAAATGTGTATTCGCGAGGGGACTGTGATAACTCTTGGGGATTCACAATAATGATCAAAGTCTGGCCACACCTGGCTGGTATGATGTTTCCTCCTTTCTGCTCCACTGGAGAGTCAGGGGTGAGTCAGATACAAGCAAAACGACCTATGAGTGCATTCCCTCCATGCCCCAGATACTCACTGATCACTCCTGGACTAGGCCAGAAAGACAAAACGTATCAGTTCCTGTAGTAAAGGTGTTTCCTGGTCCAACAATTACAAAGTTCTTCAGTGAACACAGTGTTCCCTGGCATCAACCACCACAAACATTTTTGAATATTGAAAAGTTTCTATGGTTTCTCCTCTCCGCTGCTTGTACCATTTCTGTGCTCCTTGTTGTCTATAAAATGTGCTTTTGGAGGCAGGAAGAACAGCCTCGGAGTTATGGATATTCAGGACCCTCTGGGCCGGGATCCCACTGGATCTTCCTCAAAGTAGGTAAAAGCAAGCACAGACAGAAGCTGCTGTGGGAGAGACTCTTGCTTCCTAAGAACTGTTGCCAACAAACAGTTCAGAGGGGGCAAATCTTGCTGGGATTTGGATAATAAAGTTTCCAATGTGAGGTTAGTTTGGTTTTAGAGGCTTCTCTCTGAGGTTGGGATTCTAAGAAATCGGCAAGCCCAGCTGTTTCAGTAGGAGGAGCTAGATTTCACAGAGGGGAAGGAGGTGGAGCACATCCCCACAGACCCACAGAAGGTATGGCCTGGCTGTCCTTGGCAGGCCGCTTACCATACTCCACTTTCCCCTCACAGTCACCTGCAAAGCCAACAGCCAGTAAGACCTTCCTGAAGCACCTTGCTCCAGATGTCTGACTTGTTTACCTCATTTTAAAGATAAAACAATAAATGGAGAATGATATTCCATTTTTAAAAAGAGCCTGACTTAGCCGGGCTCGGTGGCCCAGCCTGTAATCCCGCGCCTTTGGAAGGCTGAGGTGAGTGGATTGCCTGAGACCGCGGGTTCGAGACCCGCCTGGGCAGCAAGACCTCATCTCTGAA